CAAAACAAATAGGATATGGTGGAACCTGGACGCGGGGGGGGGGGAGGAGAGGGCAGGCATTTGGATTTATAGCCTCAAAGAGGAAATCATCCCCTAAACTCCCTTGAAAAGCTGGCCAAGCTATGGAAACATCTGCACCCTGGGAAAGACAAACTTCCATAAAGTTGCTCTGTTGCCTTTTTTTTTGGGGGGGGGGGGGGTGTTAATGCCACATCATAGAAGTCCTAGGCCAGCCTCGCCTCGGATGACCCCTGGCCAAGCACGGAATGCATCGCCGCGGGGGAATGATGCGACCAACTCAGCCGCCAGAAGAAGCCTCTCTTGTTGTTTTGTTTTGGAAGTCCAACGGGACGTTTCCGCGGCCAGCGCTTCCCACCGACCTCCCCGTCCCGCCACCGACCTCCACGCGGCTCCCAAAACTTTCCCACCTTCCCCCGGCCGCGTGATTCAAGGCAAGGCAGGAGTTCGACCGGGCGAGCCTTTCCTAGCAAGGGGCCGCTCTCTCTCTCTCTCTCTCTCTCGGTTCGTACCCGGCCCACGCTCGTTAAAGAGGCAGCCGCTTTTGTAGAGCAAAGTTTGGAGTTGGGCTCCCCCAAAGCGGTGAAGTTGCCGTCCGACGCAGGCTGGGAGGAAAGGCTCCACGCCCCCGCCTTTACCCGGTTGAACTTCAAAAACCCTCCGCCCCAAAAGCCTCCCCGAGGGGCTCCCGGGGCGCTCCCCTTCTTTCCCTTCTTTTTATTTTTAAAAGAAGTTTTTTATTTGTATTCTCTTCCACACAGTTACAGGGATACATTCCCATAGTTATGATTCTTATTTATCTTTATCACTTTTACATAGTTGTTTCCCCCCCCCCCCATATAAAGGTTAAAGTATAAATTCAGGGTTGCTTTGCTTACCATCCCATAGACCTTATGTTATCCCCGTGCTGTTTTCCCTTTCTTTTCGCCCTCCCTCCCTTCTCTACTTCCTTCCTTCTTCCTTCCTCCTTTCCCTTTCCTTCTTCCCTTGCCTCTCCCCTACTCCTCTCTTCCTTTTCCTTCTCTTTCCCTCCTTAAGAGGACACCGAGAACTCCCTGGGACTTACCCCCAGCCACCCCTTCCCCAAGGATACTAGCAGGCGCGGGCCCCCAGGGGTGGGAAAAACTCCCCCCCTTCCCCAACTCCACCTTGCATTTCACAACTTAGGGGTCCACGCTCCACTTGCTCTCCTTTTTGGGGGGGGGGGTCCCAACTTTTACTAAATTGCTCCCCTTCCTTTTTCCTTCCCATGCAGGCGCTCTATCCGCTTGGAAAGAGGGAGGGGCGAGGGGGCTGTTGCTGCTGCCCTTCTCCCCGGCTCTGGCATTTGCGCTCGGGTGACTCCAAGTCCTCTGGCCGTTGACTCCCCTCCGTCCCGTCCCGTCCCGTCCTGTCCTGTCCCGTCCCCCCCTGCCCCGCCACTTACTTCCTCGCCCAGGCGATCCGGAGCTCTGGGTGATTTGGGCGAATCTCTCCCCGCAGTTAATCCACGCCTCGCCTCGGACGCAACCCCGGTGCGCCTGGCCAAGGATCTCGGCTCCTCGCTGACCACGCGAACCACTTCGCCCACAACAGCCTGTGGCAACCCCTCGCTCTCTGTCCCTTGGCGGGCGAGACTCCCCGCCCCGCCTCCCAGCGCCTCCCCCTCGCCCGCCCCAGCCCGGTCCCCAGACTCCGCGCCTGGAGTAGAAGCCGGACGTAGACTGGGAGTAGACGGGACAGTTGAAGCTACAACAAGTCTGTTCCCAATACAATATAAAAGAAATGTATTTTATTCTCCTGCCTTCGATTCACAGCCTGCAGGAGGACAAGACGGCTCCAGGGAGCCCTCCTGCCTCCCCCCCCCAACACCCCCCAAGTGCAAAAGGCACTTGCTTGGCAGAGAAAATTGGTTCTCCTCTGTAGGTGAATTGATAAGTTTGTTTTAATTGTGGTTAGTAGACTAGGAGCCTGTTACGTTAGAGCAGAAGTCCCCAAGCTTGGCAACTTTAAGACTTGTGGACTTCAACTCCCAACTTCAATTGGGGGGGGGGGAGGTTGAAGCAGGGGTGAAATCCAGCAGGTTCTGACAGGTTCTGGAGAACTGGTAGCAGAAATTTTGAGTAGTTCGTAGAAAGGGCAAATGCCACCTCTGGCTGGCCCCAGAGTGGGGAGGGAATGGAGATTTTGCAGTTTCCTTCCCCTGCCACGCCCTCCAGGCCACACCCACAGATCCAGTAGTTAAAAAAAATTGCATTTCACCACTGGGTTGAAGTCCACAAGTCCTAAAGTTGCCAAGTTTGAAGACCTCTGTATTAAGAGTTTGTCCCCACCAGAGCTGGTTTGCACAACTGGTGAAACCAAAACAAAACAATCATTTTATTGGCTTCTCACAAGTGGGGGCCATCTGGCTTGCAAAGGGCGGTTTCTATCTTAACGCAGGGTGAAAATCAGCCCCGTGTGGCTTATTCCGCAAACTCTGGTTACCCAAGCCATCACTTTATCTGCTATGCAAAACATGGGAACGCAATCTAATTTCAGTGCATCATTAAGATTTAGCAGGATGTCACCCTGAAGTTTAACGGAATTAAAGTTCTGATTAAAACGTATCAAGTGAGCCGCGCTACAAGCTGATAAACATCAGTTCATTAACAAACGCTTATCCCAGAGAGCTATAAAGCCCTTTGAATTCTTATAAGTCGGCATAGATTTCTTTTCGCACAGTCTCAAATTTATTCCAAGAAAATAAACTCCTCTTCAAAGTCAATTTTTAATTATTTTTTTTAGAAGTCGGCGACGTTAAAGGTCTCAAACAGGCCTTACAGGTAGTCCTTGGCTTATGACTACAATTTAGACCAGAATTCCTGTTACTAAGCAAGGCTGTTATATGAGCCGTGCTCGATTTTAGGACCTGTTTTGCCACCACTGTTAAGTGAACACGCAGTCATTAAGTAAATCCGGATTCCCCCATTGACTGTGTTCGAAGCCACTGGGGAGGTTGCAAATGGCAACCCCATGATGCCACAACAAGGGTGATTTTCCATTGATTTTTATCTTACTCCTCCCTCTTAACTTAAAGAGACTTAGCAAATTTATTAGCATTTTTAAAAGCTCAAACCCCAAAAAACACTGGCTCTGTTATTCTTGATGAGATAACTGTTTTAAGAAGGCTGCATCCCTTGATTATCAAACCTGAAAAACAACAATTTAATCAGGTCTTCAGCTGACTTGCTGACAGCTACCAGATCTGAGCAAAACCACTAGATGGCATCTAAGAGTAGGTGTCTTCTTCAGAACCTGTGCTGCCATCTAGTGGCTCTATTGAATTTTGCAACTCAAGCCTTTAATGCACATTCTTTGCTGAACCAAAGGTGCTTTTTTAAAAGAGGCGACTGGACTCTCTAGTTTTTCTTTGAAGATGTTTCGCTTCTCATCCAAGAAGCTTCTTCAGCTCTTTTTCAGGGACCGTGACTTGACTGAGAATCTCCACAGATTCTTTGCTGAAGTAGTGGTGCAGCAACCGGCAGAACGACCATGGGAAAGGAAAATAAATATGGTTCCAAGATTCAGGGCTGCTGAGGAACTGAAAATAATATAATGAATATTTCGTTGTGTGGTAAGGAAATTGCACGCTCACTCCAATGAAGAAAAGAACTAGGAACGTTTATTATCCCATCTTTATTACATTTCTTAAATAACGCAAGATGGCAAAGTGTTGTGGCCAGCAGGAGCCGTTGGAGCTGCCACCAGACTCCAACAGCGAGGGGCCCTACGAGTCGGCTCTGAAGGATGTGGAGGACCCTGGGAAGGGTTCCGACTCTGAGCAGGGCGAAGAGAGGCTAGTTGGCCACCAGGAGGTGCCTGAGCCTTGGACCAGTGGGGAGGAGACAAGGGAGAGTGAGCTGGACGCCAGCAGTGAGTTGTTCCTGGATGCACGGCACCGAAGAGCTAATAGGCGTCAGGAACAGTTGCACAGTTACAGGAGGTAATTGCACTCAGCTGGTGGTCATTAGGCTCCTCTCCAGACTATAAAAAGATTACTTGTGCACATGCCCCTCTTGCAGAAGTCAA